TGCATACATATATTGTATATATAATAAATAAATATTAAAAAAAAAAGGCAAACAGAAAATAAGAATGGTAGCACAGACCTGTAATCCCAGCGCTCGGAAGGTGAAGGAGGCAAGAGAACGAAGAGTTCAAAGCCATCGCTGGCTGTAGAGAAAGCTTGAGGGTTACCTGGGTTACATGAGACCCTGTCCTCAACCCCATCCAAAAATATATATATGGAAATTATGGGGAAAAATTACAAAACCGTGATTAATTCCTTCAACATTTTGTTAAAATATATTAACGTTTGGGCTGGAGAGATGGGTAAAATTATTTTCTGTGCAAAAATTTAACCTGAGTTAAATTCCCTAGAACTCATAAAAATGGGCACGAGTACACATGCTTGTAAACCTAGCTTTGCTGGGCAAGAGACAAAGAACCCAAAGAGTTCTACAGTCAGACAACATGGTCAAGAGTCTCAGGTTCACTGAGAGGCCTGGTCTCAAGGCAATAAAACAAAGAGAAACAGCATTAGACAACTGACATCTTCCTCTGGGATGTGCAAGCATGGGTCTCCTATTCCTACATACAATGTGCCCCTCACACACTCACACTCACTCTTTCTATCACACACACAGTGTATGTGTGGATACCTGGTCTGAAGATACAGATATGAAAATGATAATATAGGTAATTCATATTTCAAGATTATTTTCTGTACCCAATATCCCATTATTTTTATACTGACTACATAATAAATTTAACTCATTGAAACTGTACTATTTTTTTAATTACAAAAACATATTACTTTAAATTACGGTTTTCCCCTTTTTTCCTATTTAACTTCTTTTCAGGTCAGGTGTTGTGCTAGGCCACTTTTAATCTCAGCACCTGGGAGGCAGACCTGGGTGGACCTTGTGAGTTTGAGGCTGCCCAGCCAGGGCTGGAGAAACTTATACCTCTTGTTACCTTTTATAGATAAAATAAACAAAAGCTATCCATGGAACTTTTCTTGCCCTTCTTGGTAGACAGTCTCACTCTCATCATCTTTCATCTGGGTTTGCAGCAAGAGACTCTCTTACCTATGCAAAGTTCCAGCTTCTGACTCCAATCAGACCTATTCTACAGTCATTCCTATACAGTCATCTCCACAGAGCAGAGCCTTAGCCTCTACTGCAAAACCTTTCACTGACTATACTATACTATATTACCATGCTTACCTTTCGCTATTTTTAGGGGGTTTGGATCTGAGTTGGGCATATTTTATAAACAAGAATTTATATAGCCCAGGCTAACCTTGAACTTACTATGTAACTAAAGATAACCTAGATTCTGATCCTCCTGCCTCTGAGCGCTGAAATTTCAGTAGTGACCAACCACACTCATATGTACCTCATTGATGTTCTTAGATGAAATAACCCAAGAACAGGAATTCTGTTTCTAATTCGCACTGCTGAAAACAGTGCACCACCCTCAAAAATAAGATGTAAAATGCAGCTATTTAACACACAGGAAAAGAGCCACCAAACATCACCTATCATTATTATATATACATCAGCAGGGCATGAGCTCACATTTGTAATCTCAGCACTCAGAAGGTGAGGCAGGAGGACCACCAAAAGTTCAAAGCCAGTAGGGGACAGTTAGCAGGCTCCAGGGCAGCCAGGGCAGCATGGTAAGACCTAAAAGGGTCTCACTTTAAAAGGGGGGAGGGTATATTATAATTCAGCCCCGTGGGGTGACTCATGCCTTTAATCCTAGCACTCCAGAGGAAGAGATAAGTAGATGTCTGAGTTCCAGGCCAGCCTGGTCTCCAGAGCAAGTTCCAGGACAGAGAAACCCTGTCACAACGACAGGAAAAAAACAACACTATAATCCTATTCACACTGTTACCTGAACCTAACACATTACCTAACACAGAAGACTTCAAATGATTACTGACAGACTCAATGGAATAGCCCCAGTTCAGAGCTTCAGAAGCAAAGATTAACTGCTCTAGGTCACACAACTACAAAAGGTCACGGGTGATGCTACCCTCCACAACGCACGTCTAATTCTAAAGCTCAGAATGGATTCTATACAAACATATACTAATCTTTTGTTGAGAACGGACTTAATTTTTATTTTACTGCTTGAAAAATAAAACCCAACCAAATAAACCTCTTTCTTTCCTCTGATTGTCCTGTAGTTATTTACAGAAGCCATTCACGTTTATTTACTGTGTGCCCAAGCCCTGCCTGTGAAGGTCAAAAGTACTACTTGTCGGAGTGGTTTTCTCCTCTCCGTAAACGGGTACGAGGCTCGGAACTTGAGTTCTCAAGCCTGGAGGCAAGCTCCTTTCACGCTGAGCAATCTCACAGGCTCCGGAATCTGCATTTTTCGGTTTACTTCAGTGTTCCAAACTTGGCAATTCAATTCCTTTGCCTATATAAGATGTACCTGAAATTCAAATGACCATAAAACTGCAACTCTTTAGTCAGTGCCGTTGTTCACAGTACTATTCTTCCACGGTTAATTACTAGATTTTCTACGGAGTACGTCCTATAATGAATGAAAAACTGCAGTAAATGGAACACTGGTCACCTTGATCTAGGCCTGAAGGAACTCTGCAAGCCTTCACCAAGCACATCGGCATTTCCTCCAGCATGCTTTTAATTCTGTTGCAGAGTAGCCACTAAGCCTGACAGACAAGCAGCCCCTTTCTTCGCTGCCGGGATCCACGCGGGGCCAGCTTCAAATGACAACCGCCTTCCTGACCTTGACTAAGTTAGGGGTCAATTCCCCTGCCCAAAACCGCCGCCGCTACAGCAGCTGAGCATCCCAGCCGCTCCGAGGACGAAGGCCGCGGCGACCCTACCGCCGCCAGCTGGCCCGTCCAGCGCCCTGGGGTCTCCCGGGACCAAAGCTAAAGGAGGCATGATGAGCGGGCCACGGTGGAGACAGTGCCCGGGTTCACCCCGAGCCCCTTACCCACTGAGCGGTGAGGCCAGCCGCCCTGGCCCGCAGCGCCAAGGAGAACATGGCGGGCCACAAAGTTCTCCAATCCCGGCTGCTCTGGGCAGACTCCCGACGAACGGGACTGGCGGCCCGGCGCGCGCGCTCCCGGGCCAAGGACGCACGGCGCGCGCGCTCACGTACCCGGGCCTCGCGACCCGGGTGTCCGGAACAGTGCTCGACTCCGGAAGAGCGCGCGGAGACTGCTGGGACCGGCGGGCAGACCCGGAAGTCCAACCTCTAAAAGGCCGGGAAAGTGGAGCCGCTGCGTGTAGTGGAGGACGTTGACCGATATAGTGTGTAAATCCAAGCCTAGGGCCCGAGAAAGCTGGGAAAAGTTCCGGACTATCAACTCCATTCTCTCTGGCAGGTTTCGGATTGCCCCTTGCCCACGGCTGCCCCTTCCTCTGGGATCGGACGCGGCGGGTGCCTGACCCTTTAAGGCTTGGAGAACCCAGTCAAAGAACCGCTGCAGGCGCGCAGAAAGCCAGGTCGAGACAGAGAAAACCTCTGAACGGGTCTGAGTATTCTTGAAACTGTGCTTAGATGCTGAAGAAAGAAAAGGAAACGGGTATAGACAGTCACGAAAAAAGTAGTTTGAAAATAATAAAGTGGAGTCTTTAAGGAGAGAGTAAAATAATACCAAAAGAACAAGCACATAAGATTGGGAGATACCATAACACAGGGTATTTGGAACCTATATAGGGCTGGATTAAATGGTTTAAAATAGGAACAGAAAATGAAAGAATAGCCGGGCGATGGTGGTGCACGCCTTTAATCCCAGCACTCGGGAGGCAGAGGCAGGAGGATCTCTGTGAGTTCGAGACCAGCCTGGTCTACAGAGCTAGTACCAGGACAGGCTCCAAAGCCACAGAGAAACCCTGTCTCGAAAAAAAAAAAAAAAAAGAAAGAAAGAAAGAAAGAATAAATTACTTAGCTGAGATTGGCTTGATACCAATTATGATTACTATCATTCTGGTATTTCATATTTAACTCCTTGTTTTAAGTTTTTCTCGAGACAGGGTTTCCCAGTGTAGCCCTGGCTGTCCTGGAACTCACTCTGCTGTCCTCGAACTCACACCTTCCTCTGCCTCCCTAGTGCTGTTATTAAGGTCGTGTGCCACCACCACTCGGCTTCATATTTAATTCTTAATAGCCATAGTGGTTTTCTGTGCCTTCTCAAAAAAAAAAAATTAGAAATACAGGAAAAAGAAAAATACAAAAGGTGTTTGGTTCAGGTATCCTTACCTGCTCAGCCATCTTACCAGGAATACCTTTAAAAATTTAGATTAGCCAGGCGATGGTGGTGCCTGCTTTTAACCCCAGCACTCAGGAGGCAGAGGCAGGCAGATCTCTTTTGAATTCAAAGACAGACTGAGTTCCAGGACAATCAGAGCTGTTACACAAAAAAATCCCGTTTTGAAAAATAAAAAAAAAATTTAAAAAGAGATTTATGTGTATAAGTGTTCTTCCTGTTCGCCAAGTGCATGACTGGATCAGAAGAGGGCATCAGAACCTCTGGAACTGGAGTGGTTTTCATGTGAGACAGTCAACCTGGCATTGCTTAATCTACTTTAGTGAAGTCTCCTGTTACTCGAAGCAAAAAACACTCTCACTGATAAACATGTAATCATCATCTTCCAGCCAGAGACTGGGTAGGCAAGCTGTTTCCACTACACAAAAGATTTTCATTCAGCTAAAAGATTTATTGGGTACCTTTCATATGCTAAATATAGTTAGTGACAGAGGCTAACTCAAAGAGAATGGGAAATTCTTACAGAGGTTGTAATCAGGTGACAAGTGCAGGAAAAGTGGAGGCAGGCATGTTGAGATACCTCAATGACCAGTCTGGACTAGGAGGTCAGTGAACCCCAATAAACTATAATGAGACCGTGTTTCAAAAATCCATGCAGTATTAATATCTATTTGGTATGTTTCTTTGAATTTGTAACATGATCTGATTTTAGTTGTAATAAGAATTAACCTGTGGGTCCAATCTAGGCATTCTACATATATATGACAGTTGCGTAGCTTGGTCTACTTGTGAGACTCCTAACAGTGAGAGCAGGGGCTGTCTCTAATGCTTTGGCTGGCTCTTGATAGGTCATGCTTTGTTGACACCATGGGAGGCCTGAATAGAAACAGGAGTGGATGGAGGAGTGTTAAGGGATGGTAGGGGGAGGGAGTGGGGAGAGAGGAGGGAGGGGAAACTAGTTGGGATGAGCACGTGAAACACAAGAAAACAGTGAAGGGAAGAGACAAGGATAAGCTAAAAGCCCAAGGTGGTGGGCACTTGTTATCAGAGCACTCTGAAGGTTGAGGATCACGTAGACTGTGTCTAAAATATCTACAGCTGAAATAGCATGGTGTTTATCATAGCTGCTACTGAAGAGATCGATACAGGAATTTTCAGAGATGATAAAACAAACATCAAGAAGGCAGTGATTTGCCCTCCACCTGTTTCATTATGGAAAATATCGAAGGAATACAAGAGCACAATGAATACTTGTTCAGAAAGATGTACCATGCACCATCAACAGTCATTTCTACCTCCCACTTCCTAGCATTCCAAAGTCAATTCCAGCTAGCCTATCATTTTATACTCTAAAACAAAGGTTCAGGAGCCAAAGCCTTTGATGTCCTAGTTCACTGTGTAGAAGCCCTTTGTCTTAAATATTGTCATTTTTATAGGCAATCTTTCTTTGGACTGTCAACTTCTAAATAAAGACATGGAGACTTTTTATTAATTATGAAAGCTTGGCCTTCGCTTAGGCTTGTTCCCAACTAGCTCTTAAAACCTAAATTAACCCGTTTATATTAATCTACATTCTGCCACATGGCTCATCATCTCTCTGTAGCACCATAAGTCTTACTTCCTCCACATCTAGCTCCAAATCCTTCCAGCTCTAATTCTAAACACACACCCCTTCCTCTCTCTCTCCAGAAGCCCTGCCTAACCTCTCCTGCCTAGCTATTGGCTGTTCAGCTCTTTATTAAAACAATCAAAAGGTGCCTTAGGCAGGTGAGAAAAGACAGAGACAAATCTTTGTTGTAGGAGGCCACTTGTTTGTTCCTGGCTGCTCAGACCCGAAATAACCACACAGAAGCCATATTATTTGCAATACTGCTTGGCGAGTAGCTTAAGCGTATTTCTGGCTAACTGATATCTTAATTTAACCCATCTCCATTAATCTGTGTACCTCCACATGGCCGTGGTTTACCAGCAAAATTTCAGCATGTTTGTCTCTGGTGGCAGTTCTTTTGGCTTCTCCTGACTTTGCCTTCTTTCTCCCAGCATTCAGTTTAGTTTTCTTTCTATATTCTGTCCTGTGCAGGCCTAAGGCAGTTTCTTTATTAACCAATGGTATTCAGAGCATACAGAGAGGAATCCCATATCACATCCCCTTTCTGTTTAAACAAAAAGAAAGGTTTTAACTTTAACATAGTAAAATTACATATAACAAAACAGGTATCAAGCAAGAATTACAGTTATATCTACTTTATCTTTTATCACAACTAAGGAAAACTATAATTATCTATTCTTCAACTCCATCAGACTCCAGAAGGTTATATTACCTAAGTAACCAGGAAGTGCATTGTAAACAATGTCCAAAACTCTAGAAGTGACAGAGACTTCTCGCTGCCTGGACAGTCACCCAAAGTTCTTCTGTATCATTGGGGCATCCATCTTTAGCTTCTAGGCCCAATAGTATCCAGCAGATTTTCCCAGGAAGCAGAAAATTTCAAAGACAGTTCTACATATATTGGCAGTTTGCCAGTCACTTTCTTCTTTGTCCTGAAGAATATCTGGCAGACTCTTTCATGAAGCAGAAACCCCAAAGGACTGTCTTTAGGCAAGTTCAACAATCATTTCTCTGTGGGTCCTGCATGTCCAGTTCATCAAGCAGTCCAGGCAAGAGCAGTTTCTTGCCTAGATGGCTAACAAACTCCATAAGGAGCCTCTTAGGTGCTCCATCTTTCTCTTGTCGTAATTGGTGCTGCCAGGAGCAGATGTGTCTCACTGTCATGATGAAAAGTCCTAAGTTCTTAAAACATTTTAAATGCTGAACAGGTGGTGGTGGTGCATGCCTTTAATTCGAGCACTCGGGAGGCAGAGGCAGGCAGATCTCTGTGAGTTTGAGGCCAGCCTGGTCTACAAGAGCTAGTTCCAGGACAGGCTCCAAAGCTACAGAAAAACCCTGTCTCAAAAACAAACAAAACATTTTAAATGCCATATTCTGTAGTCTTTGAAAGGTTTGAAGAATGCCTATTCATCTGAAATGCATCTCTGTACATCTAGAAAATCTAATTAACATGACTATAAGCTTGACTATTATAAATTACTATTAACCAGCATTTACTAATTATACATTACATTTTTAAATGAACTGTGAAAACAAAATACTTTAATCAAGAGCAGAAATATACATATAACAAAATTGATCTTAAATTGGTATCAATAAACCAAGATCTATACCAATGCAAAGTATTCATCTCTATATCACATCTTCACATAGATTATCCCCCCGTTTAGTCCAATAAAAGGCTTTTCTTTAAGAACAATTATCAGGTAAGAATTCTGTTCACAATGTCCAGTCCATTTGTATTTGGCAATTTCAGAGAAAATACTATATATCTATCCTATGCTGGTGAGTCCAAAGCTTTGTACCTTAATGACTTTCTTTCATAAGTTGTATTATAAACCTAAAAGTACCTTTTAGACCTTAAAACATTTTCCTAGATAAACAACTTAAGCTTTTGTCTCTCAACCTTTACAAACTTTACATCTGTTTTGTGAGTTTCTTTTCTGAATTTGGTAGCAAAGAAAACTGTAAGGCTATACCAATCTTCAAGCCCATCAGATACCTGAAAAGATAAAATATTACCTCAGTAAACAGGAAGTGCAGAGCAAGCAGCTTCCAAAACTATAGAACTGACAGAGACAGCTGGCTGCCTGGACAACCACCCAAGGTTCCTCTGCAACATTAAAGCATCCATCTTCAGCCTACAGGACCAGATTATCCAACAAATCTCTGTGAATCAGGAATGTTGAAGGACCAACCTACCTTGTCCTGGTAAAGTTTGGCAGTTGACTTCTTTTGTATCCTGCTTGTCCAATTTGGACAGCATACTGTCAGCAGCTGAGGCAAAGGCAGTTTCTTGCCCAGTGGCTAGGCTGCCACATTTAAAGCAAACTCCATATGGAGGTTCTTCAATGACTTATCTTCTTTGAA